GTGCCCAGGAATGAGGGTGAGACTGTTCCTCTTAGAAAGAACACACCAAGAAAGGAATGAGAAGTTGTATGTACTGTTTATAATTCCCGAAGACAAATACCAGGTAAAATGTTGTACAACAGTAGATTCAAGCAATGTTTAGCACTGTTAACGTACTTTCAAATCCTTCTGACAAAAACTAACTAATTCTAATTTAATAAGGGATGATTTTTTTTTTGAAGTTGTAACGTGCTATCAGAAAAGACTTTTACTTAACCCGGGTTTGACTTTTTTTCCTCTCTGATCAAAAAAAAGGGGTGGGAGACCAAACTATGAATGATTCCGTCAGATCCAGTGGATTGCTGTTTGCATTTATTTAGTCAATCTCTTGGCTGCCAAGCCAAAGTTGTACCCATATTTACAGAAAATAACTTTCTGATAGGTTTACAAAGCAATTTTGGAAAGTTACATGGATGACACAACATCACAGCAAGGCTACAAAACCAGACAAATTCCATTTGCTGTTGATAATGCCAGGAGCCAAGAGTTTCATACCCTGTATGTGCAGGAACAAATCAAAGTAACATTTGAACTACAGAACCAACTGCAGCCAAACTTTGTTACTCAAGATGCAGGACGAGAATATGTAAGTTCATAAAATAATATTAGCCTACAAACAGGCTCTCATGTTTGTGAGCAGGCTCTCTTGTTTGGATCAGTGGCCCAAGACAAGTTCACTCAGTTACACTAAAGCCCATGTGAAACCCAAAAAGAACCCTGCAAACATGTGAGCCTTCTCACGGGCTGTAATATAGTAAACATAAAACAAAATTGTTTAAAATATGAACAACAACAATGATGTATTGGTTTCATCATTTTGTTCCCCCATATCCACATTTTTCTCAAAACCCAGACATCAGTGAGCAGCTAATTATATCCCCACATCTTGTAGTCAGAATAAAATCTGAGTTTTTCATTACATTATATTTCCGAGTAATTTTTGTAAAAAGATTATACTTGTTTACAGCTGCATTGCAATGTTACAATGTACTACACATTATTGGAAACGCTATTTTTGGAGTGCTGAATGGCTGATTCCCAGCATTTTTTCTCTTCCCCTTGCTCTGCAATACTTCATGTGTTCACTAATATTATGCTTACATAAAAAATATCAATTTAGATTAATTTTACACTTTGTTACTCACCATAAATTATCCTTGTACTTTTAGGTTTTCAGGGTTCCAAACATTCGCTGTGAGAGTGAAAACAGGGTAGCACCAGGGACCAAGTCACATTTTAGGGTGGAGTATATTGGTGGACCTGGAAGGCTTTGTCAAGAACAAGGCAAAATAAC